ACAGTTCCTTGTGTCAGGGGTTACGAGGTAGCCTTGGCGTGAGATCTTCCAGCTGGTCTCCTACAAGCCTGGTTGGCAACTGGGGACTGCAAAGTCAACTACCCTCGCAGTTGGCCCATTTTTCTGCTCTTCCCTCATCAACGTGTCCTGTGTCATGAAGCCCGGGTCAGGAGCATGCATATCTCATCCGCTTGGCAATAAACCTAAGTCTGGTGACAAAGATGCTGTTTACCAACTTGGGGAAAAAGTACTAAGCCTTTCTGTTTTTTGCATATCCTTTGCATGCTTGCACCCACTTCCCATCTCACGTGCTGACTGTGCAGTCTGGAGCACCTCCCAACTTCGTGTTCTGCATCATTTTTTATACTTGCACTAATCAGATATAAAATGTTGTGGCGCAGAATCATGCCCTCCATCAGAGTCCTAAAATTTAACAGCTAACAAAATTTTGTCACGGAGCAGTGACTAAACTTAATTTTACTTTGAGACAACTTTAGGCTGCATGATTTATCAGTACCATATTATTTAATGACCTTTTGGCTTTTTTTCACCGCGTGCATCAGTGCTCAGATTCTTGTCAATTTTAACTCATTTTTCACCTAAAAGAGACTGTATGAATTTTTTTACAGCAATCATGATATATTCCCTCCTATATTCTTTTTGACTGCTGGTTTTGTAATTCAGTCCAAAAACTATGACAACTTGGGGTTTTTTCCTTCCTTCTTCACGGGTCAGTAGTCTTTTAGATGATGTTAGATTAACCAGATGATTAAGTCTATAGCTTGTCATATCTGTAGCTTTCCAGACAAATACTGTAATTTTGAAAGGTCTTTCTCATAAGACGTTATAGGATTTGAAATTTCTTGAATTAGGCTGTAGGAGAGTGTTCAAATATCCATTAATACACAAGGTAGACAGCCATTAAAAACAACCACCACACTGTGAGCGTTTTTCAAGCTTCCTGTTGCTTCTTACGGAAAAGAACTGAAGAAAATGAGGCTGAAAAAGAAGCAACATTTTAGTCAAAAACTGCCCAATGATTTATTCAGTTTGGTCTTGCAAGAGAGTGATCCTTGATCTTCTTAATCTGAATCCAGAGATCCTTACAGCACACGAGAGGAGCTGGACTAAGTACTCTATCATCTGCTAGTGTTCCTCTTCTTTTGTGTTCTCTTTGTAGGCTAAAATAACCAGCATAATACACGATAACTGTCCAGATTGTTATATTTTACATCTTTTTTGAAAGGCAGCTATCACAGCTGGTTATTTCCAGTCCACGGCTTTTCAGAAACAATTGTTAAGTCATTTAGTAAATTCATCAGTTAATTTCCACAGATGCATATCATCTGGATTTACTGATTTGCATAGATTTAAATTTTTCCGTGCCGGGCTTTTTTTTTCTCAGATGTTATTAAAAAAAAGCCTCCCACTACATTTGTAGCAACAAGAGACACTTTTCAGAAGTACCTTTGTCCTACTTTGAAAAAGGATTTCTCAAAAGTTTGTCTTCCATGTTTTCATTTTCTGTGGGATTAATGGATTATTCAGGGAGAATTAAGGTAGGCAAAATTAGGCTATGCCTCTGGACATATCTTTGCAGTAGCCAGAACAGTTGCAATAAATTGGATATTAAGACAGTTTCTGTCCCAATGTGGCCTCCTTGAAAATGTTATCTAAGATTGCAGCTACTTTTTTTGCTCTTTCTTTTGGTAAAGGCAAAGACTTGCAGAAATAAACAGTATTGAATGTTGTCTCAAGGAATTCCACGAAGACCAATACAGATGTAAATACAAGTATTTGTAAATGCAACCAGGGATTGAACCCTTTAGCCAGAGCAGAAGATGGGAGGTCCTGTGGGCAGATCTGGACTTTACGCGCAGATCACATGGAACACTTTTCATCTCCTGCTTGCTGGTTTCTGGATCATGAATTTGTCCTCTGTGTTATTTAGGGAGGCAGTTGATGAGGCATGTTCAGCTGTATTTGTCATACACCAGATGTCGGGATAGTTAAAGTCACTCATGCTTCCTCTGATTTTTAAGCTCCTCAGTAGTTGGTCTGGGACAGTTTACACAGGCGCGCACATGCGCGCACACACACACACACATTTGCAAACTCCAGTGTATGCAGTGTGTCCTATATATTTATGTGATTTCCCATATCACCCATTCCTGGTGACTGGCCGCAAGCGCACTGGACAACACCTGTGTTTTTAATTGAACAGCTCTGGGTTATCACTAGAAATCTCAGGCTTTGCGAGCATGTTTTGCCCTCTGCACTATCCTTTACTATCCCTTCGCCCTTTCTCCCCCACTGCCGGTGACACCTGCTCCCCGCAGGCATATTTTCAAAAGCCATTCTCGTAGATCTGAATGCCTTTTAAGTAAAATGGGGTATCAGTGGGTTTGGTGATGGCTCTGAACCCAAACTGCACGTCTCGGATGTGCTGTATACCACTTAGGAGGTTTCAGACATGCTCATTAGTTCGTTCTCTTCCTTTGTTCTTCAATTTTCTTCGTCCAGACAGTAAATAATTCTTACACGTGGTGCTTACAAGAGCCACTGCTCATTTTTGTTTGCTGCTAAACAACTGCCAAATGCAGCAGTGACCACATTTCGGCAGTGGGTGAAATGAAGCCTCTGCATATGGTCTGCAAGGATCCTTCAGAGTGTGGGGTGCTCAGCAAGTGTGGTCTATAATTTGCTGCCACCTAAACCTGCATTTTGGCAAATGAATGATATTTGGCAAAAAAAAAAGGGGGGGAGGGGGGGGAGGAGGCGATGACCAAACCAAACCCACCCATTCTTTGCTTGCACAATCTCTTAAAACAAAGAGAAGGATTTTTCATTTTTACATACCTGAGTGTACCTTTTTGCCTTTTTCAACTCACTTAACGTATCCCTCTTTCTGTCCCCTTGTCAGGCCGCCTGTAGAAGACAGCCAAACCCTGCTGACGCCGGTGGTGAGCTGTGGCCCACCGGGAGCGCTGCTAACCCGGCCCGTCATTTTAACCATGCACCACTGTGCGGAACCGAACACGGAGGACTGGCAGATCCAGCTGAAGCACCAGGCTGCCCAGGGGCCATGGGAGGTGAGGCTATGGAGCTCCAGCCTGCGTGCTGGCTGCGTGCAGGGCTCTCTGCTAACCCTTCAGCTGCTTTTCCAAACCAGGACACCTGTATTTCGGTTTTTCCAGGTGAGATGCATGGCCACTGCGGGCAGACTGGAGTGCACCAGGTATCTCAGCTGCCTACACAGGGATGCTGTCTTGGGGCAGTTCGGTGCCTCCTAGTTCTGGCTGTTTTCCATGAAATAGCCTTCATCTAAGGATTTTGACACTTGAGCTTTTGGTCATGGCAGGACCAAAGTCATGGGGAGAGAAGGAAGAGAAAAGGCAAAACAAAAAAGAAGAGCTGAAAATAATTTCTGACTTAATATTAGAAATAAGAAAATGCTTTTTACAGAGCAGTTTAAACTCCCCTGATTTATAATCTGTTTTCAAGAAAGTGAAAATAATGCTGCAAATGGACTCCTGCTTCAGCATGAAGATATCAGCCAGCTTAATAAAATTTATAGGCATTACTTTTCTTTTCTTCTTCCCTCCTGACATGTTGGTGGAGCATCACTGATTCAGTTCATGCGGCCGAGATCCAACTCTGCACCCTGTTAATTCGGGAGGTGCACGAGCGTTGCTGGGCAGTGCAGGCTCGGCAGGAGCCTGGGGTGGTTCCTTGCCAGTAGTGCAGCAGGAGGATGCTCTGGGGCAGGGTAGCAGAAGGGGCTTCCACTGTAACTGGAGCATAAAGTGATGCTTTCAGCAAGGCTGGGCCGTCCTGGCAGAGCCTTCTTCTCCAGCTCTCCGCTCCTAGGTACCTGCTGCCACCAGTTTGGTCTCACATAATTAATTTGGCAAGGGCACCTTCTCCTACCGGTAGGTTTAATGAGGACAGGGTGGCGTTTGAAGGCAGTTGGGCTGACAGCAGCAAGAGTGCTGTGTCCGGCATCGCCTTCTAAAGGCTCTTGCTTTTGTTCCCTGCCTGTGGCACCGGCTCTTCCTCACGCTGGGCGGGAGTGTGCAGCAAACACGGGTCTGTCTCGCCAACTAATCTGCACCCCACCGGCCTGACTCTTGGCACCGCACATATGTTCCTTATTTGCGTCTGTGTGTTACTGGCACCTCTTCATTTTCTCCCCTGTCCTCCTCCTGCCCTTGACAGAGCTGTTGCTCCGCCGGCCGTGCATATGCTCTGGTGCCAGCGCAGCCTCCGCAGTGTCCACATGGTCCCTGGCCATCTCATGGCCATCTTGTTCCTCCACTCAATTCTGGAGCAGCTCCTCCAGGCTGAGCCCCCCATGCACACGCACACATGCACACACACGCGCATGCATGCACACGCCTGCAGCATCGCTCGGGGGCAGCGCCTCCTGCCAGAGCCGGTTGCTGGGGGGAGGCGGAGGAGCAATCAGCGCTGCAGCAAGGTGCCCTCCAGAAGGATCGTGCTACCCCTGCAAACATGGCACATTTGCCTTTCCTGAGACTAGGGGGCCCGAGCTTAATGACAAATTTCAGTCGAGCCTGCGCCGCTCATCTGCCAGATGTGTGCGTTGTGCTGCAGACCTGCAGGCAGCGGAGGTGAAACCAGATGAGTTGTGCCGAGCATCATGTGCTGCTTGGTGGCTTTGGAAGAGGCGGCCGTCATCCACCGCTGCCTTTTCGTTTCTGCTCTCTCTCAAAGCCATTCAAAGCACCTTGTGTTGCGTGCAGGATATTACACGCAGGGTTGAATGGAGAAATTAGCAGGGGAGCTGTTTTCCTGTACGCGCAGGGTGGAGAGGTTGTCTGCTTTCAGGCTGTATGCATTTTTTTTCTTCACCCTGCAGTCTCGTCACGGAGGATTATTCCGACGAAGCAGCAGGTGATATTTCATGTAGATGTGGCACTCGGCCATCTCAGAGGTTACTTCCCTTCCTTGAGTTTTTATAACTCCTTATTGTCATGCTTAGGACGTGAAGGGCAGTTATTTCTTCAACACACCTGCAACTACTGATGTTAAATCATGGTCACTGAATGATTGGTTCTGCAATATCTTTTTCAATAAAGTATTGGTGATATTTTCATTATTTGCCTAGTTCTTCCCAGGGCTTTAAAAGCTGCTGCAAGGCCCAGAGGAGAGTTAGAAGTCTTAGGGGAGCGAGGACAGGAGGAGGTTTCTACCACCATTATCACCACCAGCACCCCAGAGAAATCCTCCCCTCTCTGTGCCTATGCAGGAGAAAAGATGGAAGCAGGAATTTTAAATCTTGATTAATCTAAGGTGCAAACAGCAAGGACTTTGTGCATCATCCAGGCATGAAAGGGGCATTGGTGTCTCAAAGGAGAGCAGCTCCGAGGGGTCGGGAGCTCTAACTTGGCCTCTTTCTCCCTTAGGATGTGGTGGTGGTCGGGGAGGAAAACTTCACCACTCCGTGCTATATCCAGCTGGACCCAGAGGCCTGCCATATCTTGACAGAAACCCTCAGCACGTATGCCTTGGTGGGACAGTCAGTCACCAAAGCAGCAGCCAAACGTCTCAAACTGGCCATCTTTGGACCGCTGTCCTGCTCTTCGCTGGAGTACAGCATCCGGGTCTACTGCCTCGACGACACGCAGGATGCTCTTAAGGTGGTTGTTGTTCTCCCGCTCACTTTCTCTCTCCCCCTCTCCAGCTCTCACAGGACTGCAATCATAGCAGTGACTAGACCCTCTGCTCTGTCTGTTCCTGCTCCCTGGGTTATTTTTCCAATTAGAAGAAGAGCTTGACAGCAAGCTGCTGGTTTACAGTTTAACCCCCACACTCTATAAACTGTCCTTTGCATAGGGATCTCACACTTTTTTCCACCCACCAGTCTTTTTTTCCTTTGTTTACCTGTATCATAGCCTGAATCCTAGGATTTTTGCATTATTAAAAGGCCATAAGGTACACGGGGCTTCATTCATTATTCATGTATTTTTAATGCTAAGTGCCAGCTCCCCAGAGATGGGGAAACATATAAATGCTTCTTTGTAAATACTTGATAATGACAAAAGAAGCTTCTGGGCTGTTAATCACTGCCTGCTTTCATACTGCTTTATTACACCTCTTCGTGTGCAGCTTTTTGTGTTGGGAATTTGCAACTAAAATAAACCAAAGCTGTTGCTATCTCTAGCTATATAACCTTACTCTCACTGCGTAATTCTGGCATGCACACCAACACACACTCGCTGTAAACAGATGAGCAGATAAATAACCATACTTGCTATTTCTCTCTATAAAAACCTATATTTGTACAGATGGTATCTATAATAGATGCACTCCTGAAATATGTAGCTTCAACTGCGCATGTAAGAATGGAGGTTATTAAAAGGTGGGGTTTTTTTCCTTTAATCGTAGCCAGTGCAACTGCCCAAATGCCTCTTTGCAGCAAAACGAGTTCAAAGCCTGACTCTAAGTAAAGTCATCCTGGTGCTTTTGTTTCCTCAGTTCCGCGTGGGAATTATTGGGGTTCAAACCCACATACACTGGCCAGGGGATGTCTGTGTTTTTCAGAGCAGTGACTGCCATCACTGCAAAAGGCATGCTCTGTTTTCCTCCCCAGTATTATCTGGTATCAAGACCTGCCTGCCTAGGTTTTGCTGGGGGGATAAGAGTATATGTGAGAAAGTCAGTAAAGTATAAGGGCTGAAGCAGGCATATCGTGACTTCAGCATGGTTTTGTCTGTACAGGGCCTGGGGGCTTGGCCTCTGTCAATGCATTGGTGTTACCAGGATTTTAGAAACAATTTTTTTCCCCAGTTTGATTTCGCTATTGTTTTTCCTCTTTAAAAACAAGTGAAAAGGATCTTTTGTAGCGATCAAGCGTCAGAAGTCCTGATGGTTTTATGCCTGTGCTGTGTAATACAATTTTCCATGGGTTCGTCAAGGCCTGAGGTCATAAAAAATGGCTCAGCGGGGCCTTGGACAGACAGCTAATGCAGTCAGAGCTGGGGGAATCCAATTAGGTGTTACTCAGGAGCTGTTGGGTTTGTTTCTGATAGACTGTGGGGAGAGTTGCAAGGTAAAGTTAATCTGATTCGGTGCTATAGTAAAAAGGATCAGGAGAGTGCTGAGCAACACGGAGGGACGTTCTTTCACCTGAGAAGCTGCAGCCAATGTTTGGTTGAGGAGCAGGCCGGTCCTTGGGCTTCTGCTGCGGGAGACCCCAAAGCGAGCTTGCAATTCGGTAAGGAAAGGTGAGCAAAGTCACCATCCCACCCGTACCTACTGCTTTTTTACAGCAAAGTGCGTACATTTTAATGCTCTTCTTTTTGGCACGTCTACCCCAAGACTGGAAGGCCACCCATGGAGTTCAAGACCCAGCTATCTGGTGGTTTGTAGGAGGACAAGCACATGTACTTGCTGGTCACAAACTCTTATGAACGTATCAGTTGCACTTCTCTGGAAATGAAAGGTCTGAGGAAGGAGGTTTAAGAAAAATGAACCTAGTAAACCAGCTGTAGATCATAGAATCATGGAATCATAGAATGGTTTGTGTTGGAAGAGACCTTAAAGATCGTCTAGTTCCAACCCCTGTCATGGGCCGGGATAGCTTCCACTAGACCAGGTTGTGCAAAGCCTCATCCCTTGAACATTTCCAGGGATGGGGCATCCACAATTTCTCTGGGCAACCTGTTCCAGTGCCTCACCACCCTCACAGTAAAGAATTTCTTCCTTTTATCTAATCTAAATCTACCCTCTTTCAGTTTAAAGCCATTACTCCTTGTCGTCACTACCTGCCCTTGTGAAAAGTTCCTCTCCAGCTTCCCTGCAGGCCCCCTTCAGGTACTGGAAGGCTGCAATAAGGTCTCCCTGGAGCCTTCTCTTCTCCAGGCTGAACATCCCCAACTCTCTCAGCCTGTCTTTATAGGAGAGGTGCTCCAGCCACTGGATCATCTTCATGGCCCTCCTCTATACTCCCTCCAACAGGTCCATGCCCTTCTTGTGCTGGGGGCCCCAGAGCTGAAAACAGTACTCCACGGTGGTCTCTTGAGAGCAGAGTAGAGAGGGAGAATCGCCTCCCTTGACCTGCTGGCGATGCTTCTTTGGATGCAGCCCAGGATACGGTTGGCCTTCTGGGCTGCAAGTGCACATCACTGGGTCACATTGAGCTTTTAATCAACCAATGCTCCCAAGTCCTTCTCCTCAGGGCTGCTCTCAATCCATTCTCCGCCCAGCCTCTATCTGTGCTTGGGATTGCCCTGACCCATGTGCAGGATCTTGCACTTGGCCTTGTTGAACTTCATAAGGTTTGCACGGGCCCATCTCTCAAGCCTGTCAAGGTCCCTCTGGATGGCATCCCTTCCCTCCAGCATGCTGACTGCACCACACAGTGTTGTCAGCAAACTTGCTCAGGGCACACTGTCCATGTCACCAACAGAGATGTTAAACAGCGCTGGTCCCAATACCAACCCCTGAGGAATGTCACTTGTCACTGATCTCCACTTGGACATCAAGCCATTGACCGCAACTCTTTGAGTGTGAACATCCAGCCAATTCCTTGTCCCCTGAGTGGTCCATCCATCAAATCTGTGTCTCTCCACTTTAGAGACAAGAATGCCATGTGGGACAGTGTCAAATGCTTTGCACAAGTCCAGGTAGATGATATTCATTGCTTTTCTCTTATTCCCATCATAGAAGGCCACAAAACTTGTCAGGCATGATTTGCCCTTAGTGAAGCCATGTTGGCTGTCACCAATCACCTCTTCATTTTCCATGTGCCTTAGCATAGTTTCCAGGAGGATCTGCTCCATGATCTTGTCAGGCACAGAGGTGAGGCTGACTTGCCTTGAGTTCCCTGGGTCTTCCTTTTTTTCCCTTTTTAAAAATGGGGGTTATGTTTCACCTTTTCCAGTCAGTAGGAACTTCACTGGACTGCCATGACTTATGATGGGTAGTGGCTTAGCAACTTCATCCACCAGTTCCCTCAGGACCTGCAGATGGTCCCATGGCCTTGTACACCTTCAGGTTCCTTAGATGGTCTTGAACCTGATCTTCTGCTACAGTGGGTGGTTCTTCATTCCCCTGGTCCCTTCCTTTGCCTTCTGTGACTTGGGCAGTGTGGCTTGAGCACTTGCCAGTGAAGACTGAGGCAAAAAAGTCATTGAGTACCTCGACTTCTCCATATCCCAGGTAACCAGGTCTCCTGTTTCCTTCCGGACAGGGCCCACATTTTCCCTAGTCTTCCTTTTATCACCGATGTACCTATTTCTATAGGTATATAGCTTTTTTTTATATAGTACTCTATAGCTTTTCTTGTTGCCCTCGATGTCCCTGGACAAATGTAATTCCATCAGGGCTTTAGCTTTCGTAACCTGATCCATGGATTCTTGGACAATTTCTCTGTATTTCTCCCAGGCTACCTGACCTTACTTCCATCCTCTGTAAGCTTCTTTTTGTGTTTGAGTTTGTCCGGGAACACCTTCTTCATCCACGCAGGCCTCCTGGCATTTTTGCCTGACTTCGTCTATGTTGGGATGGATTGGTCCCAAGCTTGGAGGAGGTGATCTTTGAATACTAACCAGGTTTCTTGGGCCCCTCTTCCCTCCAGGGGTTTATCCCATGGTATTCTACCAAGCAGATCCCTGAAGAAGCCAAAGTCTGCTCTCCTGAGGTCCAGGGTAGTGAGCTTGCTGTGCACCCTTCTCGGTGCCCTAAGAATCTTGAACTCCACCATTTCATGGTCACTGCAGCCAAGGCTGCCCTTGAGCTTCACATTCCCCACCAGCCCCTCCTTATTAGTGACAACAAGGTCCAGCATATGCCTATTTAGAAAGAAAAAAAAGGTTGGGGTGTTTGCTGCATGCTTTCACAACAGCTGGCACTGCAGCAGCCCCGGCTGTGCTGGGAGGAGGCCCTTGGCACTGCCATATTGCTGAAGGGAAGGCATTCATCGGGAAATTACCACTGGCTGTGTGGGACAAGGCATGCAGACAGGGCTGGATCAGCAGGTCCTGAGGTTCAAAGTAATTTGGAGAGAGTGGGAAAGTTGTAGGCAGCAAGCAAGGCACCAGCTGCAACATCTCGGTGTCTTGGGGCTGGCCGCTCCAGGCAAGACATGGCAAGGGGAGGGAAGAGCAGCGTGAGATGTTCCCACGCTGGGATGTCTGAGGTTTGGAAGAGCCTTTGTAGGGGATTATGTGTTTATTTTAATAGGCAACCAAATGCATTCTGTTACTATTTACAACTAGGAGTGAGCGTGCCGTATGCTGGATGTGTCCTAACAGCCACCAAAGGAAGACAAGCGGTTGCGGTATAAAACACAGTGCTGTATTTATCCAGCAGGCTTTTCCTCTCATCATGCAGAGTAAGCGCTCGCTGTCGAACTGCCGGCGCCCGCAGTACAGTAGGGAAGTGTAATGGCTTGTCATCAACAAGGGCTCGGATATTGTGGGAAGGGCTTGGCGGGGTTCCTGGGGGCTGTGGAGCAGAGTGGGCTCTGTGCTGATCGTGCGTGCAGTGTCCTCTGCCCTGCAGGGTCCCGAGCTGCCCAGATGGGATGCTCACAAAAGTGCTTTTTGGGCAAGGGCTAGGGCAGCTGTGGCCTCAAGCACTGGCTTCTTTTTCTTAAGGCTGATTTTTGCACTTTGAGGGGGATGCCCAAGCTAGTCTGCTGTAAGAAAAAGTAATAATACAATAACTATAAAGAAATCCAGCTGCTTTATTCTCATCTGTTTATTCAGATAAATGGCTTTGAGATTGAGGTGTGTGAGCTGTGTGTGGCAGCACGGCAGGGGCTGAGCAGCCGGGCGCGTGGAAACAGCTGCCTCCCACGCCGGGGGCAAGTGAATGATTTCAGGGTATAGCAAGGTGGCATCCCCCAACCCACCTCGTGCTGCACAGTAACTGCCCTCAAAAAAAAGCCCCCAAGATGGCACAACAGGCTTGTGATCTTCTCTCGGTTCTTTAATGTGTATTTTTCCTTCTAATGAAGAAAGGCAACAGCTTAGACTGAACACTGTTGCTTGCTTGTGCCCTGTTGATTGAGGAAGCCCTTTCCAAATAGAGGTTGTGGCTGTCCTGGTGGTGCTGATGATGGAGCGATGCCTTACATAGCTCCCTCCTCAGGAGGAGCGTAAGGGCATAAGTCCCAGCTCACAGGGGTGGTGAGAGGCGATGGGGAGAGGGGGGTATGGCCAGAGCCACCTTTGCATGGGGCAAGCAACACATGGCTCAGATTTCGGCTCAGAAGGGTATAAAGGCACCAGCCAGTGGCATAAGCACTGCTCTAAATAAAATGCCGCATGGCTTGAGCCAGCCTGCAAGTTTGAAGGGCTATGCAAATCATGGCTCCAAATTAATTCTGAATTAATTAGCTGAGCAGCATGGGAGAAGCACAGGCTGCTCAGCATCCTCCAGTTGGAGCACGTAGAGGGGCTATGGTGACCAAGGGTAGTTACCAAAAGTGGGATATTGAAACTAGACATCCAGATCTGGTGGGTGGGATGGTGCAGCATCCTGCTGCGCTGTTTTTCCCCGCAGTAGTGCAGCTCCCAGGGCTGGCGCTGCGTGGGCAGGAGCGGTCATTCGGCCCCTGCACCCCGCGTGCCTGAGAGGTGGTGTCTGCAATTAGCTCAGACAGTGCTGTGCGTCGTCTTCTGGCCCTTCCAGGGAGGTAATTTGGACGTAATGAAGATCTATAGTAATCAGATAATCACTATCGATTGCTCTTTAGGCATCTTGATGAGGTAATTAGGGGGCACTGGAAAGAAGCTGGAACTGATTCATTGGCATAACCTTAATCTAAAAGGTTTCCTGATTTTGTTTCTTTTCCTGTAATGGCTGATAAATGAACATCATTTTAGCTTCAGTATCTGCCAGGTGCTGGGCTCGCCGGGGGCAGGGGCTTTTCCTGTATGCTAACTAGATCCTCAATGTGATTAAGAGTAGCTTGTTTTGTGCTTAGCTAAAATGGAGGCTCCGTTCGTTGGCCGGGGTTCCATGTGCCCACATACTCCTCAAGTGTGCTCACTCTGTGCGTGATGGGCTTTGGCCATGTGAGACTGGCTGGTTTGTTGGCTCTTGTAATTAAATACAACTGAGTTTAGCTGTGTTGGTTTCTAATGGGGCTCGTGTAGGTGCCTTCCATGTGGCCTACAATTAGGCTGTTTGTAGGCAACAATCCACTGTGGTCTCATTAGTTACAGGAATATATTTCTTTTTAGCTGCAGAAAATGACCAGGCTCTTGGCTTACTAGCTTTTAATTACAAGATCAATATTTCAGTAACCCCGAACCTGTGTATTCATATGTACAAGATGCTCCATCAGAGTATCTTGCTCTTGTTTTGATACCATGCCGCTTGACAGTTAAGTCTCAGAGTAAGCATCTGCTATCTCCTGTACCTCTCTGCCTTGGAGCAGATTGCCAGGAGGCTGCAAGCTGAAGGACCAGCAGGATGCACAGGTCCCATATCAGCAGGACCTATGCAAATAAAAGCTTCCAAAAGCAAAATAGTAAAGCTGCTATTAGATGTCCAGTTTGGTGAGCGATAGAGAAGGCGGATATATTTCAGGATTCAAACAGTGCCTGTGTGCAAAGTCTTTGTGTTCGAAATAGTTGCATGCAATTAAGCTTTCTGCTTATAGGACATGTCAGATAACGCTGTGTCTCCCAAAGGATACATGGGTGCCTGCATCCCTGATGGACTGCTGCTCTGTGATGGGGGCAAGGGGTATATACTCACATCCACCTGTGCAATTCCAATTCACAGGAAAACACAAGTCTGTGCAATTCCTGTGCATTTTTTTTCTGTACCATACAAGCTACAGCATCTACAGCAGGCGATCTTGAGGAATCAGAAGAGCAGTGTGCTGTCGTGATGAAACCTGACTGCTTTCTTCTTGTTATCACCATACTGCAGGAGGTCCTCCAGCTGGAGCAGCAGATGGGTGGGCAGCTTTTGGAGGAACCCAAAGCTTTGCATTTTAAGGGAAGCACCCACAACCTCCGCCTGTCCATTCATGACATTGCCCACTCTCTCTGGAAGAGCAAACTGCTGGCTAAGTACCAGGTGAGCAGCATAAACCATTGACATTGGATCCTAGCAGTGAGGCCTAAAGAGATAGTGAGACACAGGGGTATTTAAAAAACCCCTGGTGCCAGGCTGCAGTGCCACGGACGCTTTTTTCCCTGGACCATTTGAAGTGACAGTAGCATGGAGCCTACAATCTCTGGCCATACAGCATCTGCGCCCTGATTCCATATCCCTCCCTTACTATACTCTTTTTTTTTTGCTTTTCTCTTGCAGGAGATTCCCTTTTACCACATCTGGAGTGGATGCCAGAGGAACCTTCACTGCACCTTCACACTGGAAAGGTTCAGCCTGAATACGCTGGAGCTGGTGTGCAAACTCTGCGTGCGGCAGGTCGAAGGAGAAGGGCAGATCTTCCAGCTCAACTGCTCTGTCTCAGAGGTAAATGGCATTGGTGCACTTCTCTATCTGACTGCAGAAATGTGGGAGGGCTAAGGAGGTATATCCTTTCCCATTGCTACCTGCTTAGTGCTTCCCATTTTCCTTCTGACTGCTCGGGTGGACATAAGGGATGGATTAAGTCATTGCTTTCTATCTCCTGTTGCGTTTTCCCTTAGTTTCTCTCTTCTGGAAGGGAGCGTGCCCCCTTCAAGGGAGGGAGGAGGGCAGCTGTGGTCTCTCTGCTAGTGCCACCTTTCTGTGCCTGTGTTGAGGAGCTCTTTGCCTACCACTTTTGCGAAGCACTGCATGGTCCTGATCCCTGGCAGCTGCAAGACCATCATGCCTGATATTTCCCTGGAGAGGGAGTAAGGAGAATAGGAAAATGTCATTGCCATATGTTTGCATGAGCCACTCCACTCTGATCCTGCATAATAACTGCTGTGTTAGAGGGAATATCAGATGGTGTAGTTGCAACAGATTTTTCTCCTCAGATTTTGCTACTGCTACAAATCCTATCATCTGCAACAATTTTTCTTTTGATGGCTGTCATTTTTCAGTAGAAAAATGTTCATAAGTTTTGGAACATCTTTGCTGATGCTACGTAGCACCTGGAGAACTTCCACTCCTTGGGGCAGTCGAGCTTGGGGCTGAGACCAAGTGACATGTTCAGGTGTGAAGTGACATTGACTTCAGTGAATGTACTGGTGGCTTTTGTGCCTGGTACCCTCGGCAGCTATGAAGAGCAGGCTCTTGGGCAGCAATCGCTGCTGGCTGACTTGGGGAAGGGCTGGGAGACCACAGACAAAAGTTGTACTGTAGGGCACCGATGGTGTGTGCCATTACCCATAGCATCTGCTTGGTTATTGGATGTAAAGTTACATAGTCAGCCGGGGACTACACAGCATTGAAGACAGATGGTAAAACAAGTATCATAAACAATTATTGTAATAAGTGCTGCATTGAGGTAATCTCTAATTTAACCTCGCAGAGAAGAGAAAGAACTGAGAGTAACTTTAATGAAATGCAAGTATACACTATAATCATCTTCAGCTGCTTGTGTGTAATAGGGCCTGGTAATGGATTCAGAGGGAACAGGATAATATTCTTGTCTTGTGCTGCGATCCCATCCATCAGGGATGAATAGAGGGAGGGAATAATACTGCTGCTATCAAGGCTGCCTACTGCAAAATTGATCCTCCTTGGCTGACATGTAGTGATGTTCCTGAGCCCAAGTGAGGGGCAGGAGGACCTTGGGCTGCTAAGGGCTGGCATACAGGGTTGTGTCAACCTTGTTACTAGAAAAAAAATCCTAAAACTCAGCTGGTTTGATGACAAAAGTTACCTGGAAGTGTAACAGCATTATGTAATGCATAATAACAGCAAGATGGAAACCAATGTGTATGCCTCTGGAGGCATAAGAGGAAGGGGTGGTTGTGATTAAAAAACAGGCATCAGGAAACCTTAGCTGTGGTTCCTCACACGTTCTTCTGTGACGAACTAGGTCATGTAAGGATGTACTTTGGTCTCTGCTTTCAGAGGGTGTCTGGTTTGGTTTGCTTCTGGTGATTTCAAATTGCGCACATTATTCCCTTCTTGAGGGGAGGCAGGCAGCTAGTGGTTAGGCATTGCAGGACCGTGCGGGTGCCTTTCTTCATTGCTGGATCTGCCTCTCTGCCTCTGTCACTCCGGCAAAAATATAGTAACAGTTTCCTGCATCCTCCCTTCATGGGCTTTCTTTTTGGTCCCCTGCAAAGGATGTAAAACTTCTGCAGATTAAACTGTCTTATTCTGGCTTTCTACAGTGTCTTCCACTGGGACTTCAAAAATACAAATGCAATGAATGCCAAAACATGCAAATTTGTGAGGCAAGAGGACAAGTGAGATAAAGGTCTCCCACCATTATTTTTTGAAGCCCCCTTTTTTGTCTTGCGCTGTCAGTACTCACCCCCAAAAGCCCCAGGGCACCACCATGGATACCTGGCCTCCGTCTGCAGCCATCCTGATGCACTGGGGGCAGCAGGCCACCTTGAGAGCCAGGGCAGTGCTGCCTCAGTGTGTCCTTGCGTCCCTTGGCCCAGAATAAGAAGGGAAAGTTGTCCATCTGCAATGGCACCAGTCACCACTCTACAGCCACTTCTGACCCGCCGGCACGGGTGAACCTGCAGGCAGCGGCGGTGCCGTGCAGGTCATGTTGCTGCCCCGCGGCTGGAGGACATCGCGATGGAGGCATCGCTCGTTGCCTGAAGTGATGCAGGGCCTTGGTGCCCAGGTAGGGATGCCGCTTTCAGCACGGCTTTGGGCATGTTGACTGAGGACTTTACAGTGTGGCATAAACCTTCCTTGGTTAGAAATATCACTGAATGCTTGAAGTGCCATTTCTTAAAAAAACCCCAAACAACATAATGCAAAAAAAAAAGGCATAGAGTGGAAGACAATGAATTGCCATGGATAAAAGAGTGGAGGCAAAAGAGGTTTAATTCTGTTCATTGCTCATGGATACTGGCTCTCCTCTTTCCAACTCTGCATACTTTTTTGAGGGGGAAACCAAAGAGTGTGTGTGACTCTGAGCATCTCCAGTAAGCTTCCTGGGGGATTTGTGATGGCGGGTTAAACCAGGTGTTGCCTGTGTTTGAAGTAATTTCAGGTTTTACAGGGCCCTCCCAGAAGCCAGTTTGACACAAAGCAACAAGGCAGCTCACAGAGGAGCAAACAAATTGACATTTAAGGATGAGTCTTTTGCATGGGTGTTTCTGCCTGCCCGGGGCTGTGATTTGGGCAGAGGTGGAGATGAAGCAGCTTCCCTGTTTCTGCCAGCCCGGCCCCAGGCCTGTCTTGCTGTGAAGGAGAGCAATGGAGAAGACATGTAAGAGGCATGAAAGGACACCCAGCCCTGCTTGCCACTTTTTACATTGCGTGCATCGGTAGCTGGAGGTGACAAGTGCTGCTCAAGGGAGGAGCATCCCCGCTGCACGGTCGGGCAGCCAGTTGGCGTTGGTGGGGTTTGGTGGGGCTTTCAGCTGCCCTGCAGGACCTTGTCATTCCTAAGCAAACCCACCATCCAAATTGACCAACTACCCTTGTCCTACCAGCTACTGAGCCCCTCTTTCTACATACCTGTGGGGTGCTAAATCCTTCCAGGCCCAGGAAGAGATAAAATCCTTGACCAGAAGAGCCAACCGCCTGTTATTCCCAGCGGGGCCACATTACAGCCATCTCACGGGGAGCCTCCAGGCTGGGCAGACCGCATCAGAGAGCACCAACCTGATACCGCAAGGGACAGGCTGGCTTTGGAGGTGACTCCCCTCCTGAAACACTGCCTTTGAGTGCACACGCTCCATCTATCTCTAGCACAGAGTTAAGGCCTCATGAAAATGAGGGATCAGCTTGTGCCTGGGGTGGTATTAACCATCTCCCCATGGTCTGCCTGGCATCAGAAGCTTTGGAGAGCACGGGTGCTGTCAAAGGGCTGTCAGTGGCATGAACCCGGTGCTGGCTTGTTGTGAGGTGGGGGGCTTGGGGGGCTGCCAGGAAGGGGCTCCTGCCAGGCAAGCTGGGAAAGCCCTGTTCTGCCCTAGTAGTGGCAATTTGCTCTGAAATGTGTCAAAGTGCCTGATCTTTCATTATTCCCAGCAAGTGATTAATTAAGCTGGGCTCAATTTTGTCCAGCCATAGTAATCTTCACCCTTAAAAAAAAAAAAAAAAAAGAAAAAAAATCTGCTGTCTACACAAAGTCAGTTATAAATTTCTCTTTTTCAGCAGACTAACATAAAAGCTTCATTAGCAGAGAGCTGCTCCCCTCTAATGCAAGTAAAAGCACGGAGTCTCAGAGGATATACTTCTACAATCATCTCTGCACTCAGAAACAAAACTGCTGTATTTTTGTATTTTTTTTTTTTGCTTGCTTTCCAACCTCAGGAACCCACTGGCATTGATTATCCTCCCATGGACTCAGCAGGCACCATCACCACCATAGTAGGGCCCAGCGCTTTCAGCATCCCCCTCCCGATAAGGCAGAAGCTGTGCAGCAGCCTGGATGCCCCCCAGACCAGGGGCCATGACTGGCGGATGCTGGCCCACAAGCTGAAACTGGACAGGTGAGCGGGGCTGCCTACGTGAGGTCGGGAGGGATGTGCAGAAGGGTCCTGGTGGAGATGAAGGACAGCAGAGGTGTCTGCAGACCGGTCACACTGACCGCACGGGAGATGAGCGCCTTGACAGCACCAGCAATGGGGATGGGCTGAAATCATATAAATTCAGGTAGCCTTCATGCAGCTCAGAACAACAAGTTTCCTTTTGGCTTGTCGCAGGTACCTAAATTATTTTGCTACGAAATCGAGTCCCACCGGGGTGATCCTGGATCTCTGGGAAGCCCAGAATTTCCCTGACGGCAACCTGAGCATGCTGGCGGCGGTTCTTGAAGAAATGGGAAGACACGAAACCGTTGTTTCTTTGGCAGCAGAAGGAAATTACTGATGCAGCCTTGGTGTGAACAGGAAGGACAGACGCAGGGAGCGGTAATGCCCTGTTATTACAAACGAGAATTGAAATGAAAACCCAGACCAATGAGTTACACAAGAGACATTTCAGAGAAGCAAGCAAGCAAACAAACAAACAAAAAAAAAACCAGCCCTGACCTTCACACGTGCTCGCCTTGTACATTATCACAGGATCTAAAAGAAATCATGCAAAGTTGTACCTTGAAAATATAAATCAACCTCATGTTCCTCTCGGCTTGGCTGTACACTGCTTGGTACAGGATTTTACAGTTTCCTAGGAAACGCTTTTTATTGCTATCCAGATATATGGATAAACTTTCTTAACAATCCCAGTTTCTATGGATGTTGTTTACATCAAATTCTGGACAGGGGTAAGGAGACTGTCCATGGCTCTTTATATTTTTTGTTTAAAGCCATTCTAGACAAGGCTATGGACAGTTGGTTGTGGCTATTTCAGCTTATTGGTTTCTGGTGAATTCAGATTTTGGCTACAATTCTGCACATCGATTGTCTCACAATGATCCTCCTGTCATTGTTCTGTTTCCTAGACCTACTTGTAAAAAAGAAAAAGAAAACCACCAAGAAAATCAGAGTTTAAGAGGTGTGCATCTGGAAAGCAGGTACTCTGGGTGCTAAGCAGGAACACACGTAACGTCCCCTTCCTTCCCCAAGGCAGTCCCACTGAGGCTGCGTGGAGAATTAACTGTAGGACAGCAGGGAACGTAGGATCAGAGTTCATTTTCAATTCACAATGTAACAACACCCTTTCCACCCCTCAGCGATATGAGGGGGCTGGATATGCAATTCGGAGTGGTTAGGGGGAAAAAAAAGAAACCCAGAAAAAAGTAAAAAAAAGAAGTTGCTATGATAATTATTTACTAATTAGTATCTAGTGCAAGGATTATAATGATTATTATTATTATTACCATTATGACTTTATTTCTAATTTTGTCAGCAGCAGAATGAATTTTTCCCACTTTTATGGAACCTGTTGTCCCCTTCCTGAAGGTTTTCTAAGATGCGTCCCTCTTTATGCTGTCTGTCCTTCCCTTCTCCAGCCATCGTACTCCTCCTCCAGAGCCCTCTGCTAGCCCACAAGGGTTGCTGACCTCGTGTTAGCATTGCTGTGCTTCATGCCCAACACAAGGGTGCTATATACTGGTGACACTGCTGATGTCACTGATCTGCACCCGCAAAGGATCCAACCCCAGCACCCCTCCCTGGGATGTTTTGCACCACCTTGGTGCCTCCAGGTTGCTCCAAGAAGGTATCTATCTGTGAACCAGTGACAGCCTCCCAGTCCAAATATGTAGCCCACTGGTTCAGGAGCACGGGTGCAAGCATGGGGAGGCACTGATGTTGACCACCTGATTTGTGAGTCCAAGATGGGCCTCCAGGTGTCTTGCTTTGCTTTGTAGCAGTCTGAGAGCCAGCAGCTCCTGTTAGCTTCCCACGGAGCCGCAGGTACTCACTCTTACTGAAACCCGCCTCCTCCCGTAACATTTGCAGTAGTCAGGGCTACTGGGAGTCATCTGCTGGGACATTTTTGGTTGAGATGTGCTCGGCAGATCTCTGCTGCTCTTCCTGAGCTTGCTGCAGCCAGGGAAGCCTCTGCTGCACGGGCCAGCCTAGGGCGGGGGAGTGGCGAAGTCAAAAAGCCGCGTACTGCAGTTTGCTGCCTGCGCTGCACCAGGTCCCCACTGGCTGACTGGGGGACACAGGTGAAGTGGGAAATCGTAAAAAGCCATGAACGCTTGCTTTTGCGATTGTCACTGCAAACATATTTTACTTTCTGCTCAGTGAAGAGACTGACTCTTTAGTACACGACAGCACATAGGACCACAGTAGTTTTACTGCCAGGCTTGTCTGTCCTCTACTTCTGGTGCAAAGGCGGCTTTCTTCCCCAGCCCGGCCGCTCCAGGTTTCCAGCCAGGCCCTGGTTATTGCTGTTGTGCACACACCCACCTTTGCCCACGCACGCATTCCCGCTTCATCTGCTTCCCAAGACTGGAGTTGGTTTGTTTTCTTTTGTGGTTTTGGTTTTGTTTTTCCCCAAGGCTTTCCAGATTATGCCTTTAAAGGTAACTTTGAAAATGTCATTGGTCAAAATGAAAGGAAAATTTCATCTGACCTTTTTCCCCTTTGACATTTCCATAGGCTTGGGATTTTTTGCTTTTAATTTCTCGGTTTTTGACCACTGGGCAGCGATCACAATGCATTCCCTTCCTTGTAACAGGTAACCTGGGAGTTTGCAAACCAGCTTTTCAGTCAAAACTGGAGACCAGAGGGCTTACATTTTGACTTTCAGCATGTCTGCTTTTCGCCTAAGCCCCACCCTCCATGATGCCAAAGGCATCTTTTCCACAACCATCTTCTTTTTCACCTTGGGCATCTGATGCAGCTCATTGCAACGCTGATGGAAATCATGCTTTCAACTTTGGGAGGCTTGACTGGGGCTTCAAGCTCTGTCCTTTCCCTTCATCTTTTACTCATCTTGGAGCTCTAAAATGCCTCTTAAAAGATAGGGCTCAGCTTTTCGCCCTCCTGTGCCATCTTCAGGTGTAACCAGTTGTACTTAGTTTGTGTTTCTTCCCCCTTCCTGCACATCCTTCCTGCGTGACGCCTCTTCCAAGGCAGCTGCATGACCTGAACTTTCCTTTGGCCCCTTTCCCTCTTCGGCTCAGTCTTTGTTAGCTGATGCCCAGGCTTACTGGTACCCTGGCTCTCGGCTTGTGCTGGGTGGGCAGTATGTGCACCCTTCTCACCGGCGCCTTGCCAGAAAGTGTTGTAGTTATCTATCTGTAGCACTATGAGTTAATGCCCCTTTTGCAGCTGTCTGACCTACTCTTCCCGTCCCCCCCGCCCCGATGCCTCCTTCAGAAAAACAGATGAGCAACTTTCTTAAAATATTTTAGGGAATGTTCCTTTTACAGGCTCACTGTAAAGGGGATTTATTGACAGGAAAAAAACAAAAAAACAAAACCACGTTCTGACTAAGAGGATCACCCACGGAGGTAGATGGTGGTCAAGAACATCACTAGGGCAGTGGCAGTGCTGTCACTAGGAGGTGGAGCTGCCCTTCTTCCAGCCCGACTGCTCAGAAACCTCCCCTTGCCCACTGCAATCACAGGTTGAGTGGTTTCTCTGTCCCTGCTTTTGCAGGGCAGGAGGAAGGTGCCGGGGATGGGGACATTTCCTCCGCAGAGCCACACCTCATCCCAGCAGCTCCATGCTCGTGCTTTGCCGCTGCTGCTCACAGCAGCTCCCACCTCTCCTGACACTCCCCTTGCATTAATTTTGCTCGCAGTTTTTTTCTTTTTTCCAGCAGTACCGCCCTGGCAGGGTGTGCAGCTGGGAAGAGGGCTCTGGGACAGGCCGGTTGTGTGCACCCCTCAGCATCCCCATCCTGCCGTCCCAAGGAGGGAGGGTGAGAAGCAAGGGTGGCCAGAGCCGCTCAGGATATTGTTTTTGGTGGGAGAAAAACCAGCCGCAGTCCCTCTGCCTGGATTGCGTGGACACAGTGCCATCTCGTGGGGCTGAGCCCTGGCTCCAACATGCAACAGCGCTCGGGAAAAGGCTTTCCCATGGAGCAGCTCTTGAAAAATGGCAAATAAGTTTGGCAGACAGAACCGACTCTTAAGAGTTGTAACATTTTATGTCAGGTAAGCACATCTACTTTAAAAAAAAAAAAAAAAGTGGCTGCAGGCTTCTTATCCTCCAGTTATTACTACTTCTTTAAATGCTTATCCTTTTTGTTGTCCACCTTCGGCTCTGTGCTGTAGCAGTTTTGCTGCTCTTCACACCGTCTCTTCATTACACATTGATTGCTAGTGCTATAAATACTATGTATCTTATATAAATATACATAAAATATCTACTGACTTCAAGGAAAACCTTTACTTTCTGAGTAAGAAACACTATCGGAGGCAGTCCTTTTCACCTGATTTTTTTCTTCAGTTCTTCTTGTGTTGTGTTCTTGTAAAGGTGGCTGTCAGTGTATAGAGTAAGCTTGGGGTTTCTTTTTTGGTTTGTTTTGGGTTTTTTTCCCAAACTTTCTGATCACAGCTGATCCACTGTATCTCGCTAAACAGTGCAAGACCTAAGTGCTGTTTTACTGAATCTCAAAAGTATTGAGGCAGTGAGGGTCTCTTGAGTCAAGATTTGCTTCCATGGGAGACCAAGACTCTTTTTTTTCTTGCTGTATCGCTGGCAGAAATGCAGACATTCATGAGACATGTTGGAGTCTGGGATGCCCACAGAGCAAAACATGTCTGTTCCTTGGGTTTCTTGCTATTTCTGTTGCTTACATATAGAATAAATGTATTTACATGCTGTAAGCCTGTCATTGTGGACAGTGTCCTAATGTCTCGTATTGCTACCTAAAATAGTTTTTTTTTGATTCTCCTTTTTTTCTTGTTTTGGGGAGTGGGGGGTACAGGGAAGGGAGGGGTGGGGGGGCCCTTAGACCATTGTATGCTCTAGCCAAGTAGTTACCACAGCTCTGAGATTAATTTTAAATGAGATGATACTGTTGAGGTTGTTGGTTTGTTTGGTTTTTTTTTTTTAAATCTCATGTCCAGGGCACTTTGTAAACTATCTTACTGAGTGTTCAGAAGCCTTTTCAGGTATTACTCTGGCTCTCGTCTGGCCACAAAGTAACTAATTATTTGCAGGCTGATTTGCTTAATACCAGGTGATGCAAAGACGGGTGAGGTTTGTGAATGTAAAACAAACCTTTGGCTCTTCTCCCACAAAGACTCCAATGAGGCATTGACTTTGGGGTCACCACCGCAACCCATTCCTAGCTTGTGTGTGAAACCTTGTGTTGATAAAATGAGCTGCACTGCAGATTTTTAAATGCTGAAGCATGTATCTATCATCTCAGACATCCTTTGAAGTGGGAATTCAACAGAAATGCAAAGTGTGTGTGTGTATATACGTATACAGACAGGAGAAAATAAAGGACACTGACGGCTG